AGAGAGAGAGAGAGAGAGAGAGAGAGAGAGAGAGAGAGAGAAATAAAGAAAGAGAAAACTGCTTTGAAAAATTAAGCACAAGCCAGGCCTCACACCTGTAATCCTAGCTACTTGGGAGAGAGAGAGATCAGGAGGATCAGAGTTCGAAGCCAGCCTGGGCAAATAGTTCATGAGATCCTATCTCGAAAAACCCCAAAAAAGGGGTAGCAGAGTGGGTCAAGCAGTAAAACACTTGCCTAACAAGCATGAGGCCCTGAGTTCAAACCCCAGTGCCACCAAAAAAAAAAAAAATCACCATATAGATGAGATGGTCCAAGACCCTTTCTCAAATCCAGAGCAGTGAGCCAGCAGGTGAAGGTGGCCAACAGATGAAATTGTGGACTCCTACTTTGCAACTGAGATTTAAACAGTTGCAAAGTTGCTGCTTAGTCACAAATTTCATATCTCATTACCCTTTGCCCATGGGTGGAGCCATATGACTATTTCAGTCCTTGAGCTAAAATGATATTTGGTGGTTTTTTTTTTTTTTTGTACTACTGGGGTTTGACCTCACAGCCTATACCTTGAGCCCTTCACCAGCCCTTTTTTTGAAATGGGTTTTTTTGAGATAGGGTCTTGTGAATTATTTGTCTGGGCTGGGTTCAAACTGTGATACTCCTGATCTCTGCCTCCTGAGTAGCTAGGATTACAGGCGTGAGCCACTGGTGCCTGGCTTTCCTGCTTGCAGTGCAGGTGCTCTACAGCTTGAGCCACACCTCCAGCCCATTTTGCTCTGGTTATTTTAGAGATGAGGTCTCATTAATTATTTGCCCGGGTTGGCCTTGAACCGCAATCCTCCTGATGGATCTCAGCCTCCCAAGTAGCTAGGAGTACAGGCATAAGACAACTGGTGCCCGACTAGGAATTCTTTCTATATTCTGGACATGAATACCTTATCGGGTATGATTTGAAAATAAGTTCTCCCATTCTGTAGGTTGCCTTTTTATTAGAGAGTGTATTTCTACCCAAAGAAAGTTCTTGCTGGCTGGTGGAGTGGCTCAAGTGGTAAGAGTGCCTACCGAGCAAGTGTGAGGCCCTGAGTTCAAACCCCAGTAACACACACACACACACACACACACACACACATATACACACAGAAAGTTCCTGCCATTTTGTCATACTGGAGTTGGGGAGGCCTTGAGGTAAGCCATTTAAACCACATGGGTTCTGAAGCTCAGTTTCCCTGCAAACAATGGACATGTTAAGGGATTATGTGAAAAGGGTCTTTGTCAGTCAGGTGTCCTTCCCTCTGTGAGTAATAGAAAGTCTGACTAGAGTGCCTTCAAGTGAGAAGGCATATTTCCTTCCATTACCAGAAAATTTGAGGTTAACAGTCTCAGGTTCTGTGATGTGCCCAGGGTCAAAGTTTCCTTCCTTCTTGTATTCTGATATCTTTAACAATGCAGACTTTCCTCTTCATGCTCCATGCCTTCTTTTTTATTTTATTTTATTTTTTGGCAGTACTGGGGTTTGACCTCAGGGCCTCATGATTGCTAGGCAGGTGCTCTACCACTTGAAACACAACTACCAGCTGTTTTTGTGTTAATTAGTTTTTTTAGGTCCTTACTTTTTTCTTGCTTGCAGTACTGGGGTTTGAACTCAGGACCTCATGCTTGCTAGGCAGACACTACTACTTGAGCCACTCTACCAGACTGCTAGCCCTTTTTGTGTTAGTTATTTTTGAGATAGGGTCTTCCTTTATGTCCTGGCCGACTCGGACCATGATCCTCCTATTTGTGCTTCCCCACATAGCTGGGATGACATGCGTCATCCCACAGAGCCCACCTATTGGTTGAGATGGGGTCTTGTGAACTTTTTGCTCGTGCTGACCTCTTATCTGCGATCCTCCTGATCTTCGCCTCCCAAGTAGCTAGGATTACAGGCCTGAGCCACTATGCCAGACCCAGACCTCACATCTTTATCTAATGAATGAAGAAAAGATCACGATAAAGGCTTTCTCATAACAGGACATTGGGGAGGACCAACAACCCTCCCTATAAGTTACCCTTATGTCAAATTGGCCCAAACTGCATCAAATGCCACTCCCACAGACCATTCACCTTCCAAAGGAAGCAAGATTGCTATGACTGGTTTAGACCAATCACAACCCATCCCTTGATGGTCTGGGGGAGGAACTTGTCCTCCATAAGAACAGGGAGTCTCTGGACACCATCAGAAGAGAGTGGGGATGGGGTGGTGGAATGGAACAGAATGGGGTGACAGTGGAAAGCATCTGTTGTAGAACCAAACAATAGGAAGGCAAGGTGAGCCAAGTTCTATATGTAGTTCTGCATTGGAGATACTGTGTGGCTTCAGTTCTTTCCCTTGCCCTCTCTGGGCAGTGGTTTCCTCTTCCATACCAGGAAGAGTTGAATTCAGTGGTCTCAAAAGACACTCTATGCATTGTTGACCCTGTGGTTGGATGGTGGGGGTGTGGGCTGTAGAATCTACAGTATGGCAGAGAAGGCCCACTGAGTCTTGAATGAGAAAGGTCCAGTTACCTTATTTCCTCCTCCCCATCAGGGGCAAGAATTTGTCTTTCCTGTAGAATCAAGGTCATTTTGTTTGTTTTTGACAGTACTAGGGTTTCAACTCAGGGCTTCGTGCTTGCTAGGCAGGTGCTCTACTCCTTGACCCACACCTCCAGCCCAGAATCAAGGTCATTTTGGTTGTCCTTGAAGAGAACTGACTGTACAAGGAATTGCTAGGGCAGAGCCAAGGCTCATTTCTGGGCCTTATCTTAAGTGCGTTTCCAGCCTAGCTCTGCAGCTAGTGTTATGCTGAGTGACCTTGAACAGGTCCGCTGCCCCTCTCTGTGTCTCTGTTCCCCAAAATGGTCAATGAAGGAGTCAGACATGATGGTCTCTGCTGCACTTTGAGTCCTAACTGCTGAGTCTGAGTGTGTTCAAGGAGGGCCGAAGAGGAAGATCAAGTCTGTATTCTTGGAACTGTGAGAGACCCTGAAGGAAGGTGGCAGTGTATGAGGAGCTGGTAGAAAAAGAATGGGTGCCCCCTCCCCTCCTTTTTGGTGCTGGGGATGGAACCTGTACAAGCTAGGCAAGCACTCTACCACTGAGCCACATCCAAGCCCGAGTTCCCCCTTTTCCAGGGGACCTGGAGCTGCCTTTAAGGATAACGCATTGTAGCCTCTCAGAAATCCCACCTCAGCCAGGGGTGGTGGCCCATGTCTGTGGTCCCAGCAATTGGGAGGCAGAGGCAGGAGGATCTAGAGTTGGAAGTAGCTCTTTATAGCCTAGGGCTACACAGAGAGAACCTGTCTCAACCACCGCCCCCACACACACCAAACAAACAAACAAAACTCCTAATTCACCTGCCTTGGATCACCTCCCCCCGCCCCCATCCTCCCTCTGCTGTCTCACTGTCACCCGAAGGTCTCTCTGCCAGGTCTTCCAGTGCTTGGGACTTAGGGTTGTGTTTTCTTTCCTGCAAGAAAACTCAGACTTATCAAGCTGCCCTTGAACTTCTGGGCTCAAGCGATCCGCCTGCCTCAGTCTCCCGAGTAACCGGCACTACAGATGCGCTACCTTGTTCAGCTTCCTTTTTATTATTTATTGAACACCTTTGTGTGTCAACCTTGGTGCCAGATGTCACCCCAAGGGATCAGAAAAGACCTCACAGTCCCAGGGGCCAGAAAGCCAAAGTCGAGGTGTCAGCAGGGCTGCATTCCCCGAGGCTCTGGGACAGACTTCATTCCCAGCCTCTTCCAGCTTTTGGGGCGCTGCCAGCCTTCCTTGGTGCATGGCCTTATTATTGAAACCTCTGCCTCCGTGGTGACATTGCCTCCTCCTCCATGTGTGTCCTCTAGTCTTCTGTTTGTATCAACTCTCCCTCTGCCTCCCTCTTATAACATTCATAGCCAGGTGATGGTGGCTTACAGCTGTAATCCTAGCTACTGCTGACACAACAATCAGGAAGTTTGATGTTTGAAGCTAGGCTTGGGCAAATAGTTCATGAGACCTTCTCTCTAAAATACCCTACACAAAACAGGGCTGGCAAAATGGCTCAAGTGGTAGAGCCAGGAGCAAGCATGAAGCCTGGAGTTCAAACCCCAGCACCACGAAAAGAAAAAGAACATTCATGGGGTCTGGGGGTGTAACTCAGTGGTAGAGTGCTTGCTTTGCATGTGCAAGGCCCTGGGTGCCATCCCCATCACCAAAATGAAACAAAACAAGGGGTTGCTGGAGTGGCTCAAGTGGCAGAGTGCCTACCTACCCCAGTATAAAAGGAGGGAGGGAGGAAGGGAGAGAAGGGAGGAGGGAGGGAGGGAGGAAGGGAGGATACTTGTGAACATACCTAGGGCCCATCCAGATGGTATCTCTAGATCCTTAATCCCATCTGCAATGTCCTCCCCCCACCTTTTTTGCCAAGGAAGGTCATAGTCACAGTTCCAAGGACTGGGATTTTTGTTGGAACTTTGAGCCAGGGTCTTGCTATTATACCCCAAAGTGGCTTAACCTCTCCATCCTCCTGCCTGAGCCGCTGGAGTGTTGGGATTTTTGGTGTGTACCACCGCACCTGGGTAGGAAAAATGTTTTTGCATTGTGGGGGATGGAATCCAGGGCCTTACGCATGCACGTGCTTGGTAAGTGCTCTACCACTGCACTATAAACACAGCCCCAGAATGATTTTTTTGGTGGGATTAGAATTTGAACTCAGGGCTTGGAGTTTGCAAAGCAGGTGCTGTACCACTTGAGCCACACACATCTGCTCCATTTTGCTCTGGTTAGTTTGGAGATGGGGTCTCTTGAACTATTTTCACAGGCTGGCCCCCCACCTTGATCCTCCTGATCTCAGCTTCCTATGTAGCTAGGATTACAGGCGTGAGCCACTGGTGCCAGGCTAGAGTGATTTCTTTTTTAAAAAGTTTTCATCTTTGTGATTTTTCTGGAAATGTTTTGCATTTTTTTGTAATTATCAGCCATTGTTGTTTTCAAAGAACATTAAGGTCATTAATATGGATTTCCATTGCCGAAGCCTGTACTGATGCCATGGCTGCCATTTATTGAGCATCGTGTCCATCTCTGGTGAAGTCTCCCCAAAGCAAAAGACCACAACCCAGGTCACTACTCTCTTCTCCTTTCTCCATCTTAGGTAAGTAGAAAAATTCATCTATTGCTGTTCTGGACTGAGTTGTGTTCCCCTCCAGTGTATGCATTGAAGCATAACCCTCAGAATGTTACTGTATTTAATGATAGGACTATAAAGAGATGATCAGCTTAAAACATCTATCTGGTGTCCCTATAAGAACAGAAGGTTAGGATACAAGAAGCAAAACCATATAAAGATACAGCAAGGTTGGGCGAGGTGGTTCACACCTGTAATCCCAGATACTCAGGAGGTGGAGAGGTGGAGGTCAGGAGGATTGTGGTTCAAGGTCAGCCCAGGCAAAATGTTAGTAAGACTCCATCTCAACAAATAAATGGATTGTGGTGGAGCATGTCTGCAATCCCGGCTCTGCAGAGGTGTAAATAGGAAGATTTCAGTCCAGGCCAGTTTGGCAAACCCCCGTCCCCCGCCCAAGAGCCCACCTGAAAAATAACTGAAGCAAAAAGGGGTGGTGGCATGGCTCAGGTGGTAAAGTGCCTGCTTAGGAAGCATAAGGCCCTGAGTTCAAACCCCAGCACCACAAAAAAAAAAAAAAAAGATACAGAAAAGGCCACCATCTGTAAACCACAGAGAGCAGAGAGCCTCAGAAGGCGCCAACCCTCTGGGCACTGGTGGCCCACACCTGTAATCCTTGCTACTCAGGAGGCAGAGATCAGAAGGGTGGAGATTTGAAGCCAACCCTGGGCAATTAGTTTGTGAGACCCTATCTCAAAAAAAAAAAAATCACAAAAAAGGGCTGGCAGAGTGGCTCAAGTGGTAGAGCACCTGCCTAGCAAATGTGAGGCCCCAAGTTAAAACCCCAGTGCCACTTAAAAAAAAAAGAAGGAACCAACCCTGTCAACACCTTGATCTTGGACTTGCAGCCTGCAGAACTGTGTGAAAATAAAATTCCATTGGTTGAGCAAACCAGTCTCTGGTTCTTAGCTATGTAGCCCCAGCAAAGGAATGTACTAGCATTACTGAAGAATCTACTTCTGTGTGATAACAATTTTAAAATGTGTTATGTTCTAAGAGAGCTTCTTTAATTCCTCAGAGATCCTCCATTTTCACTGGGTTGTAACACTGCAACAAAACTGTGGTGAATCATGTGATATTTATGGGTACAAGCACCCCACACAGGAGGCCTTGAGTTCCATCCCCAACACTGCCAAAAAGAGTGCAGACACTAATTTTACAGACACAAAACCAAACTGAACCCTGGCTCTCCCCATTAACTTAATGTTATGAAAACATTTTGGAGAGAAGCAGATTTTTATACCTTAAAAACATTGTACATATTTATTTATGGGGTACAGTATGATGTTCAGTATCCAATGTATAATGATCAGGGCTGGGGGCTCGATCCGTGGTACAGTACTTTGCTAGCATGCACAAAGCCCTGTCTCCATTCTCAGCATAATCAAAATAGTGTGATGGTCAAATCAGGTTGGTCAGCAACACCCATCACCTCACACCTCCTTCAAAGGTTTAGCATTTCTTTATGGTGGGAAGGTCATTTTAAAAATCTGTTTTAGGGTGGAGGGTATAGATCAGTAGTAGAGCATTTGCTTAGACTATGTTCAATCCCCAGCACCACCAAAATTTTATCTTTGACGAATATGTATTAATTGTACATAATGGGTGCCATGTTTATTGTACACTAAGCACATTAGCTAAGATTTGAAATCAACCTACATGCCTATCAGTAGATAAATGGGTAAAAAAATGGGGTTATGTACACAATGGAATATTATTCAGCCATAAATGACAAGAAGGAAATCTTGTCATTTGCAGCAAAGTGGATGGAATTGGAGGCCATCAAGTGGGGGATAACTTGTCTTTTCCTTCAAAGAAATTGCAACCTCCCCAAATCCACTTTAAAGCAGCAGACTGCTATGCTTGCTTTAACTTGCAGCTTCCCAGAATGTTAAATGTTATCCTTACCCTTTACCCTCATCAAAAAAGTCTGTGAACCCTCACTCCTAACAATAGGAGAATGGGGCAGTGTTGTGTCAGGGATAAAACTCAAGTGGACTTCCTGCTCAGTGTGCTTGCTTACCAGACCTTTGTTGGTTGCCACAAACTTTTTTTTTTTTGTGGTACTGGGGCTTGAACTCAGGGCCTACACCTTGACACTCCACCAGTCCTTTTTTGTGAAGAGTTTTTTCAACATAGGGTCTCTCAGAACTATTTGCCCTGGATGGCTTCAAATCTTGATCATCCTGATCTCTGCCTCCTGAGTAGCTAGAATTACAGGTGGGAGCCACCAGTGCCTGGCTGCCACACCATTCTGCAGAAGTAAAACTGTTGCCTTGCTGACTGACTCCTGAGTCTTATTCATTAACCCAGAGATTTTTCCAACAATGTCATATGAGCTAAGTCAGGCACTGGATGTCAAGTACCACATGTTCTGTCAAATGTGGAGGCTGGAGTTGATTAATGGATATTTTATTTAGACATTTCTATTAATGGGAATGTGGCCTAGTTTTCAAATTGAGGATACAAGCTGCCATTAGGAGTTTTATTGAAGTTGAAAAAATATTTGCCAGTCACACCAGGTTGCACGGGGAGAACACAGGCCCTGGACACAGGACAGTGTGAGCAGCTGTGTTGGGACAGGCCGCTGGGAGAAGGGATCCAGCACTCACCTGAGAGCCACTGCCCCATGCAGGGAGTGAAGAATGTGTGAGTGCCAATGCCCTCGCTGGTGTTACAGCAATGGCGCCCACACTCCTCCCCGATGTTTCCAGGTTTACAGAGAGCCCAGAGAGCGCAGGTGGCAAGGGAAGGCAAAGAAAAGAAAGAGGCGGAGATGGAGGAGACAGAGGTGGCTGACCCAGCACAAGTGCCAGCAAGGCCCTGGGCTCTCATGAAGGAAGCTACTCTACCACACCAGCCCTATTTTGTGATAGGTTTATTCAAGATTGGATCTTCTAAACTATTTGCCTGAGGCTGGATTTGAACCATGATCCTCCTGATCTCTGCCTCCTTAGTAGCTAGGTTTATAGGCGTGGACCATCAGTGTCCAGTCAGAATCTTTTACTTCTTAGCTTAGCCACTCATTAATTTTTTTGTTGAGATAGGGTCTCCCTAGGTAGTCTAGACTGGACTTGAACCCACAATCTCCTGCCTCAGCTACCCAAGAGCTGGGATTATAGGTATGCATCACCACACCTGGCTACTAATTGAATTTTTTTTCAGTCTTTTGTAGCCAGTAGACATGTGGACAAAAGAATGCAACAGGCACATCAAAGAAGTGGTCCTCTAAAGGTCCAGTAAACATGTGAGAGATACTCAGCCTCAGTCTTCACCAGGAAAAATAAAAGTCAAACTACAAAGGGGAACAGCACATACTATCAGACTGGCAATTTTTTAAAAATGTAAGCAGGGTGTGGTGGTACCACATGTAGTCCCAGCTACTTGGGAGGCTGAGGCTGGAGGATTGCTTGAGCCAGGAATTCAAGGCCCACCTGGCAACATAGCAAAACCCCAACTCAAAAGAATGTTATGATTTGCACACTCTTGGTGGGAGTGTAAAATAACATAACCACTGTGGAAAACCATGTGGAATGTTTAATAGTGTATGAATTTTTTTTTTTTGGCAGCACTGAGGCTTGAACTCAGGGCCTCGAGCTTGCTAGGCAGGCACTCTTATCACCTGAGCCACTCTGCCAGCCCTGATTTAATAGTTTAAAAATATATGCCCTGTCCCCCTTTTCTGTGGCTACTAACACAGTTCAACAGACTGGGTAAGTTATAAAGGAAAGAGGTTTATCTTGGCTCATAGTTCTGGTCCAGGGTCAAGGGCCCACATCTGGTGTCTATGCTGTTTTGTGGTTTGTGTGCAGTGCAGTGTGAGACACCTGATCATTTTGAGACTCTTGTGTTATAGAGTGTGAGGTGTTTCAGTATTTTTGGGTTCTGTGTCCAGAGTCATCTGGGACATGGTTCCAGTGGTGAGGTGATAACAGGTACTTAGAAACAGCTTTTGCTAAAAAGCCCTGACTCCTTCAATCCTGGTTCACAAGTTAACTAAAGGCAGGACAAAAGCTTGGCCTCCCTGCCTCTATTTTACATCTCTCTCCTTTGCTGTGAATCTGTCTTTCCTGCAATCACCTTGGGTTCCAGGAAGGACAGGACTGATTGATAATATCGTTACAACAAGGGACGGAAACTACCCCCAAGGAACAGCAGAGCCTCACAAGACAGACCACCTCCCAAATGAGGACAATTACCTATGATGAGACTGCACTCTGGAACATGAGAAATCATCTCATGGAACTCAGATTGCTCTCCTTAAGTGATGACAGTGACAGAACCAGAACTAAGATGACAGACCAGGTCATACAGAGCCTGGGACTGTTTAATTATGCATACCTCTTCCCCTGCTCCTCTATTTAAACTTAATGCTCACGTCTGTACCCCAAAGGTGGGCTGAGGTACTCATTTTACCTCTTTCTGAAGCATGCTGTGTTGCCTTAATAAATCTTTCTCTGCCCTTCCCCACTACTCTCTTTATTGAGAGTATGAGCAAGTGGCTAGACCTGTCATGTGGAACCTCTGGAATTGGAAGTCTGGAAGCTGTCTCACTCTTTTTCACAGCCAACCAGCACTCCAAGGTATTCATTTGGCTTTTCCCATTTGTTATTCCCATTCTTTGCATACACACCTATGTACCTGTGTGACTATTTCCTTAGAACACAGATTCAGAAGTGGAATAACCAGCTGGAGGTGGTGGTACAGGCCTGTAATCCCAGCACCCAGGAGGCTGAAGGATCTGGAGTTCAAGGCCAGGCTGGGCTACACAGCAAGACCCTTTCTCAAAAAATCCAAAACACCAGACACAGGTGGCTCCCACCTGTAATCCTAGCTACTCAGGAGAAGAGAGCTCAGGAGGATCTCGGTTTGAATCCAGCCGTATCTCAAAAAAAAAACCAACACAAAAAAGGGCTGGTGGAGTGGCTCAAGGTGTAGGCCCTGAGGTTCAAGCCCTAGGACGGCAAAAA